ACCCAACAACAAAAAAGACCAACCACAAAAAAAAACACGGGTTCCGGAAGGCCCCATTACAAACCTATTGCGGGCATAAATTTCAGCAGGCTGCTCTAGGGCGGGGGGCAATATGCAATGTTGATGGACTAAACCCCTTTGGAACCATGACCTGTGCCTTTGTGTGGGGGATGCGTGATCTATCTTAATTTAATCGCGCAAGTATAACCACGCTGCACTACTTCCGAGAGCAAACCACGAAAGCGGCTGCATCAAAAAGCTACGTCGCCGCGGGCTTTGCACATGCATATACGCTGGTACATCTATGCAAATGCAGTAGATCACTCTGTCTGTTTGTGAGCTCATCGCTCGCCCACATGCCCATGATGCTACATTGGCGCAATAGGAATGCTTTTTACAGCTCGCAGCAGACTATACTCGTACCTGTAGGAACCCACGGCTTAGGGCTCTAAGTTTCCAGCTGAATGCCCCCGGGCTCGTGCTGCATTTTCGAAGACTGACGCCCCAAAGCTTAACCCTGAACGCGCATCGGCAGTAAGAGGTGGAATTCATGAAGGAAACCAAGAGGAGGACAAAGCGAGACAAGGGCTCCAGAAACCAGGCCCGAGCTTGTGGCTGACGGGGATTCTTGAAGAAAATCAAGACCCCCAAAGTGAAACTGTTTGAAGAGACACTGGAGGTCTCCGTCTGAGGGCTCCAGAGGAAGGCGTCAGCAATTCTATTCAAGCCGGGATGCTTGACACTGCAAACAGAGCCTCCCCAGTGCTGTTGTGGGCCTGTCAGGTTTAGGGCTTAGGGTTTGAGGGGATGGGATATTCGAAGAACTACGGGCCTTTTGCTCTACCAATTATGGTACGGCACCGCATATTGTCGGGGTGGAAAAAGCATGCTATACCAACTATACGGTGGGATATCAGTCGTCACAACCTTAGCAACCACCAGTAACACAAGAGAATTCGAAGGGCATTCTCCTGCGTTCCTGGGCGCAAAATAGACGGCGGGGGTTCCAAAAGTCAGGGGTACCCTTTTGGGGGTACTTTTTGTAGAATGTTGGGGTCCATATTACGGTCCCCTACCTATGGAACCTACCAACTATACCTTTGAAGAATTTCTCGCCATTCTACTTAAGACAAGAACAGAATGACCAGTCATGTCAAAGTAAACTCAAAAGCTTGGGGTGGGATACAAGAATCCTGTAAAAGCCAGAGGACCCTTCTCATGGCCTCGTGGTCGCCATATACCATTAGGGTTACAGGATTTTTGGGGCACCCCTTTTTGATTATCTCCCCTGTGTCATGGAAGGATGTCTACTCCTTCGGGATGCCAAGCACAATTCCTGCCAGGGTCTGTTGCAGGATTCACTGTACAACGCAGCATCCTCTAGGTGGGGGTTCCGATTGGAACCGGTTATCTAGGGAAGCTTCCGCACTCGGATGGCTTAGCTCTTCTTGTGTTTGGGGTCTAGCGTCTCAAACTTTGGAGATCTATCTATGCCTTTCGGATGTCGAGGAATTCATATCCAACCCCCCAAACGTTAAACAACAAACCACCCGGCGTTCCACGCCACCCCAGACTGCTGCCTGGTAGTTCACGAAGTAGCCGGCGAAGGCCTAGGGCTGCTCAGAGACCCCCTAGAAAGTACTACAAGTAGTTAGGTCTAGGGTTTAGGGTTTAGGGACAAGAGGGGCCTAAATGATATAACCCCCATTCTTACTCTGTGGCTCTGAATCTATATATACAAAGACCTACATACATAGATTAAGTCCAAGCAACCAGAGCGGCGCCAGTCGCTTGACCTCAGCAAGTGAGGAACTTTAGTAGCACACAAGCCGAAACGGTAGTTTCAAAGGACAACATTTAGCTCTCCGACTTTCCCCACTGTGTGGTCCATCAGGATCGCTTTCTGGTTGTGCCGTCCTTGACTACACCTAGCTGATGAGTTCCCTGGCCCACGAAACATCAGCCTTTATTTTATTTGTGGTACTCATGGACGAGTTCTGCGAACTCCAAAACGTCTGAGGTTGCCTGCTCAGCTACCAAAAATAACAGGCCCCACAATATGGGGATTTCTCAAAAAATCCCTATACAATCCCGAAGAAGGACCCTGTAATCCCTAAGCCCTAGATATCCCTGGGGTCCTCCCCGCCTTTTTGAGAAAAACTCCTGCATCCCTAGACACTACCCAGTCTCCATTTCCTTTTCCACGTTCTTTCCCATTTGATTCTCCATTATCGAGGGAACATCCCTATGTAATCCACACTTGCCCCTCTGCTGAAAAGACCTAGGACTTCCATGTCATTTTCCATTCCATTCTACATTATTGGGGTTAGAATTCCGTAGACTCTGAACCCTAAACAATCATTTCCACTTTCTTTGCCATGGTCCCTATATGATCCTTATTACCCCTCTGCTTCGAGCCATGCTGCAGAAGGCGTGAATTTTTCGTCTGGACTCTCTGGTGTCGATCCACTCCCCGGGCAAGTCCTTGCAGAACATGGCGAGAGCTCGTGTGTTTAGGCTTTTGGGGTGCAAAAGTGGGTATGAACTAAGAACCAAACTGCTATAGCACCCTCGAACAGTAGAGTCACATTGCAGAGTGACCCAGCAAAGGGGTCATACTCTTCACCAGGCTTCCCGGAGCCAAGACGAAGCTCGAGAAGGGAAGCTGTACCTGCTAACATTGGATTTTCCTCCGTTGGTGCCGTGGGCTTCTCCACAGCAGTAGCCTCCTCTCCTGGTATCTTTCGTCTTGATGTTGAGGGGTGCGCGATCGTTCCTTGAAGTATGTCTACGTTGCCTTTTAGGGTTAGCGCGGCGTACTCCGTGCAATTCTCGAGAACCGGCTGAAACTTTGGACTCCAAAGTCGCTGTGAGCGACTATGGGCGGAGGAAGGAACGACTTCCATATTGGCGTTTGTGGTCTGTCTCTCCCACCATGCACTTTATCCCGAACGCTTGACCTGAACTTGACAAAACCCAAAGCAAGGGAGTCTTGAAACTAGACAACACAAAAAGCTGAAGGCTTAGTCCAAGGCTCCAGGTAATCACCTCCCTCATCTTAAATAATGAATCCAGGAGCCTCAAAAAACTCAAGAGCCGCCTTAAAAGGGCAAGACTGCATTCGAAAGGGGCCACCTAGTAATGAATTAGGGGGGTTCTGAGGTCATTAAAGGTATGATAATCTGATAAGGAATCAAAAGGAAATATGGATCTCCTCGGTTTCCTTCGTGTTTTTGCATTGATATAGTTTTAAATTAGGCATGCATCAAAGCTTGAATGCGATTTGAATTGATGTTGATTCGATTTTCGCTGGTTTTGAATACGACTTTAACTGACTCGCCCACGATTTCAATCGATCGTAAAGAACTTTTGAATGGATTCCGATCAGACTTCAACAGGTTGCACTCATGATTTTAAATGGTTTTCACTAAATTCTTAATTAGGCTTTAATGAGCATTCAATTGTTTTTCATATGGTTTTCACTAAATTTCAATTGATTTCATAATACTTCGACTTTAAGCAGATTTTCATTGTATCTTAACCAATGAAAAGTTAGGTTTTAACTCATCTATCTGGATTTAGACGTAGACGCAGCCCTATGCAGTTCTTTGAACTCATAAAATCCCTCTAACATTGAATAATATTTCCCGGTGCCCAGATTATGTACCACTACGGGAGAGAGGACCCCTAGAACCTAAACTCTGCAAAATCTGCAAAAAGTCCCGCGAAGTGCTGTCGAAAGACCCCTTCACACTCCAGAACCTAAACCGAAAAAGCCCTTCAAAGACAGCCCTCCTTTGAACAAGGCCTCTGCAGGGCTTTATGTTGATGTCATGTGGGCGAGCGTGCTCCAGGCGCCCACATAGCAAAAAAAAAGACACTGACATAAATTTGAGATTTGAAGCATACTAAAGTCAAGCTGCAAAAAGAGCAGTAATATTCCTACTACACGTAATGACTCAAGCTCCTTTGAACCCCGGAACCTGAACCCCAGAACCCTGAACCCACACGTAGGCCCTCAACAGCCCATCTGCCATAGAGCGCAGCACGTTAGACCCTTTGTCCTCGTAGTTGTACATCCAGAACCCGAGGCTGATCATGAGGGCGAAAGCTAGGCCTTGGGCGGGGCTTCAGGTGAAAATTGAAGCTTTCGGATTTAGGTTTCAACCGTCTTGTAGAGGCTCTAGAATGCTTAGATGGCCTACTAAGCCTTTTGTTCCTGTGAGAAGCGAGGTTTCTGGCACCGCTTTGTGGGATTTGCTACGTGAAAGACAGAGATTACGTAGGCATACGGTGAAGATTTGAGCTCATTTCTCAAAAGCCCAGGTCAATCTCTAGCACCCGCAAAAATGTTGGGTGCTTTTTCGGAATGGTTACACCCGGCTCAAGGTCAAGAACTGCCTAAGTATGCCTTAGCAGGGCCTCATTGCGATGGCCAAGTGAGATCTTGGGGTTTAGGGTCTGGTCGTGTATGATTTCACAAATCTCATCTATGGCTGTTGCTTGGCTTAGTCTACTGCCCGCAAACCGAACGACGCACCTTGCGGGTACAGCCACGACAATTGGTTGTGTCCCTAAATAGTCGAACCCCAGTATCGACTCCAATATACTAAAAATATTGGGAAGGTAGACCCTAATCCCTAAAACTTTTATCCCTACACAAGGCCTACAACCCCCTTTAGAAGGGACCCCTAGTTTGGGAAACCCCCAATCATGGCTCTCCCCCACTTCCACTCTGCCAAGCTGTACAGCTGTAAGCTCCACTCTGAAGAAATCTGAACCGAAATCCCAGGTCCCAAATGTTACTGGGGGTCAGTAGGGCATGAGGAATATACCATAATTATTGGGATTCATGTTCTTTTATGACCTACTAGCCCCCAGTAAGCAAAGCAAGATTCCCAACACTGTGGCCCCCGCCCATTAGAAAGGGGTGTAGCCGAATCTCACCACCAGGTCCGTCCCCGGACCTGCGTACGAGAGAGAGAGAGAGAGAGAAAGATGTCCTTGCTACCGCTTAACAAAGCAATATACCTCACACCATAACCGGATTCCGAAGATGGTTCAGGGCGTGGTCCTTAGCTACATGATGACACAAGGGTCGGTGCCCTATGGCTTCTGACTTAGTGAATTCCAGCCTCGAAGGCCTCAACCAGATGAACATGCTAAGATGATCTAGGATGCTCCACAAACAACACACAAGCGGCGACCAGTTTTCCATTTGAAGGTAAAAAAAGCTGAAAGAGCTGAGACCTCGTGAGAGCACCGTGGCCAATCAGCGCAGTGCTAGCTCCCATGAAGAGGAAATTCCTGGGCTATATTGGGTTGTCATTCAGTTATATTAAGCCTACATTGGGGTTATACTGGGGTTATGTTATGGTTTTGTTGGGGGTATATTAGGGGGATATTGGGGTGATATTACGGTTATATTAAGCCTGTATTGGGGTTATACTGGGGTTATATTATGGTAAAACTGGTGGATCCCCATTAATAACCCCTATAGTAGTCTACAATATAATCCCCTATATAACCCCCCTTTAAGGAGTTTAGACTACATTATATGGCCTAAACCCTAAACCCTTATATGGGGGATATTGGGGTTACATTGGGGTTCCTGGGTTGCATGGCCACGGCCCAGGACCAAGGCTCAAGGCCTCGGTCGTCCCCAATATTAATATTATTCTCGCTACTATTACTATTACTATGGTTTAGGGTTTAGGGTTTAGTTTAGGGTTTAGGTATTACTATTACTATTAGTGTTTCCTATTACTATTACTATTACTGTTTACTATTACTATTTGTGTTTCCTGTTACTATTAGTGTTTCCTATTACTATAGCTTTTACTATTCCTATGATTACAGTTGTTACTATTAATACTATTATTATTATTACTACTATTTCTATTACTGCTGTAGCCCATTTTTGAGAAGTACTGGTAGTAGGGAGGATGCTCAGGACTCGAGAAGCAGTCGCTAGGTTGAGGACTCGGAGGAAAGGTCTGAGTTGCAGGAATAAGTCCACCCAACCCCAAACTCTGAAGCCGCAAGCCCTGAAATTCATTGGGATCAAAGCGCTTGGGCCCAACGACCCAAGCCTGTCAGTATTTGCGTTCTAGGTGGCCCCTGGCTCCTGGGAAGAAACCCCCAGGTCCGGAGGTTCAAAAAACAAGCTAACATCCAAAGTTGACATCATCATTATTACTATTGTTACTACTATTATTATTGCAATTATTGATGAAGCCTCAACCCTAAACCCTGAAGCCTATACGAAGGTCATAGTATGGGAATTGGATAGGATTATGTATAGACAATGTATGACCATCATAGGGAATGAGAATGACAATGAGTTTCAAGCCTGGCTCAGCACTGTAGTGTTGATTGGAAGAGAAGTCGGAGGATTGCTGGGGCCCCGTCTATACTTTTCATACCTGCCTTAGAAGAAGGCAAGTTGTCAAACTTGCACGGTGGCAGCGCTGCAAAGCCTACGCCGGCAGCTGCCATAAGGGAAAACAGCAACTTGCTTGGCAAAAGCGCTCGCTGGATGACAAATGAAACAGGATCAATCATCTAGACTTCAAGCAGAAGTTTGAGTATCAGCCATAGGGATGATCTTGCCTCTGGTTGCACTTCTTGGCCAAGTGTCAGGCAATCCTGTCATTCTGCTGCAGTTTGTTTTCCGGAGCTCTGGGAAGCTGTTGCGGGAGATCCAACAACTATGTCCTGCATATGTTTTCTCGTTCCTGCGACATAAGAGAAGAGAACGAGCCAGGGTGCGCGATTGCGCGGTCTCCATTTTGTGGGCTTATTTGATCAAATGTTGGGGTTGGACATGTAAACTATGTCAGAGAATAGTATTAGTGGTTCTTCAGGCTTCTATGCTTGAGTTTGGTCCTGGGAATGTAGGTTTCTAGCGTTACAGGCTTGCGCCACCTTGATCAGATTCAACCGGAGGAGGGAAGTGAAATTCAAGAAGTACTATGGTTTAGGGTTCAGGGTGCAGGGTCCTGAAAGCAGGTGGCAAGTACCATGTACTGTAGCTGCCCAACTCGTGTTTTAAACATACCTCTGAGGAGTGGGCCTATATGGGGAGGTAGTCAAGGCGATGCTGCGTTTGTCGGTTGCCGTGTACCATTTTGTCGTATTCCAACCGAGACCAAAAAAGGACCATAATTTTGCCAACACCACCTTTGGGGGGAGAGAAACTACGCTTTCACTGCCATGCCCCGGGCAGATGATCCTGCAAGCATTCCCTTTTGTCCCCCTGTCGCCATCCACTTCTTTCAACAATTTCTGATGGGACTTCAGAAAAAGCATTAGGATGCGGTCCACTGGCCCACAGGAGGAAACCTCCAGATTTGCAGAAGGCGGAAAGTTGTCCTTTGAGATGCTAGTCATGATTCCTGGGCCCGGGCCCTTCATGATCTATACAAGGACATAGCCTTTAGGAAAACCCTTTCTCTCCGGAAACCTGAAAGAAGGACATCAAAGCAACAAATTGGGTCACGTTAATTCTATCCACTTGGGTATTTCCATGCATTACCTTCGCAGGAAGGCTCCGCGATATACCCCGGAAGTAGGACCTCATGATAGGGAATCCGACTAGGGGAGGTCGGTTTTCGGGCTTGAGCTTTTCGGTTTAGCTGAAATTTAGGTAACACTCTAGGTTACCTGCTGCCTGGTCTATGCAGAAGTCACAGCTGGTCCCCAGGCCGAGGCCCCTGAAGCAAGCATCCCAGAATATTGAATACGCGGGTGGTACTTTAGTGGCCCCCCAAATGATTTCTGAATAGGTTCCTATATGCCACATATAGGGGAAATGATTCAACATTCAATATGTCAAAATGCCACCTAGATATTCAAGCTGCTGCAAATGATCCTTGCGAAAGTCACCCTCTCACCCACACGAAGCAGCCTTTTGGGCAAATCTTACGCAAGTAAACTTGACCTTCTTCCCAAACTAGGTAATGTGGGTGTTTCTCAAAATTGTCCTTATATTATCCATAATAGGAAATCTTATGCTTATAATTGCTATGCAGCCTTAGGTTCAGACCGCCCGTGTTTTGAGCAAGCCCTATGTTAGTTTGAATAGGACTAAGGAAGCCCTAGACCATCTCTTCCATGTATTCCCTGCAGTTCAAGTAGTCTAAAACCCAACATCTAGCTGCCATGAATAACCCCTCAAAACTAACCCCCCCCGTACCACCCTCATACTACCAACAATGAAAACATTCTGGTTTAGGCACACGCACTGCGCAGCAGGTCTAAAGGGTCTAGGGGACATGTTCATCTCACAACATGTCCACTCTAGAATCTCCGAACCTAAACCTCAAACCCTAATTACAAATTTGACATCCCTGGGGTCTTGGGTCTTTGGGCTAGGCTACCCAAAGGTGAGAGACCTCAAGCGTAAACCCTGATGTCCCTAGAACGCCTATAAGCAACCTAATTAAGAACACCCCTAGCTTCAGGAACCCTACCTCGTAACAAAAGCAGCCCCCAACCCCTTAGCAATACGCACATGCTCCCATATCAGTACTACTTTATGTTGAGGGTAGCATGAGCGCTGCGATTGGTCCCGCGTCCTTGCCCGAAAGCGGCATAGCGCCGGCCCAGATGCTAAGCCAGGCACATGGCTCTGTCTGTGGGTTTTTGGTTGAAGGTGGTTGAGGGTTCAGGGTTTGGGTTTAGAGTTTACGGCCTGGGGCGTACGTTATTGAATATGAACTTCAAGGTTTAGGGTATGTAGGTCTGATTCAGTATTCGCGGCTTAGGCGTTCACGTGGCCTGAATCTCAGGGGGCTAGACGTATAGGGTTCTGAACAAACATCTATCCAGCTAACATGGAACTGTAAATGGGCCCACCATACACCACTGTCCTTAGCGCCTTAGCGGCTCATTGGGACTCCTGGTTGTTTGGAGGAGGGCATCCACTTTGGGGGAGGTGTGTATGCATCTACTCTGAAGCCTGAGCTTTTTGAACTTCGACGCCGGTCCCCTGTTGCAACCTACACCACACTCGTGTGACACTTCATCTGCTCTCCACGTGAGAAGTGGTCGTTGCTGCTGTTATCGTTGTTGTTGCCAGCATGTGTTGCGGCATTTGCTTAGCATCGGCATCGCAGAGACAAACAAGCAACATCGCCATGATCATCACCATCCTTGTCAACGATATCACCACCAGAACCGCCACTCATCAGCATCATCAGCAGCAGCCGCCCTGGAACCTTATGGTCAGAAACACTTGGAGTTCTGGTCTGAAAAGAATGAAGCTACAGCCCCCCCGCCCCCTCCCCCACCCCAGAGTGTATCAAGGATTTTTCATGGGAAACCAGACACCCTCTGAAATATCTGTGCAGGCCCAATCCTGTAATCACGCCTGCCAGTTTTCTCCTTTCAGAGCATGGTCACTTGGCAAGGCTGTTCTTTATCAGCTCGTACCTTGGTGGAACTCTGTGGATTTAAGAAGCTAGGGGCCCCGTGTTGGAAGTTCTATGAACAGGATTACGGTATAAGCTCTAAAGCCCCCAATTGTTGGAAATAACCATTTTGGGCTTGGGGATTCGAATGAGGCTCCTGCTAGGTGGGCATGTTACGAAAGACCTCTCCAAGGAGATCTTTACCACTACTCTGACTTGAGGACTTTCTTGCCTATAACCCCAAACAACAAACCCAGTACTTTTGCAGCGCCGCTTATGCCTATGTCATCCTGATGCCGCCCCCTCAATCTAGTCTTCCACAAAGCTTGAAGCGAAAGTTCCGACCACGGCACGTGCAGAACACAACGGCGTGTTGCGGCCAAGCCCGAGCAATCGTGGCCGCAAAGCCTCAGCCCACGGTAATTGCTATCAGATGGAAAAGAAACTGAACATGAAAACTCAAACTGAGTTTATGTAGGGGTTTTGGGAATTGTGTACTGGCGAAGCCTATATGAGTACCAGATCTGCTTGAGGTACCATATATGATAAGGATTTTCCATACCACTCTGTAACCAAAGTTAGGGGACCAGGGTCTAGTGCAATAAAATGCAAGCTGCTTCCTCCTAAGTCTTAGCATAATTCGCAAACTCGCTTTGGTCTGGGGTGGTGACGGCAGTTCTGGGCCTTGCCCCAAGACGCCTCTGGGTGTGGCTGAAATGTGCCAGTCGCGGAGGAGGATCCCTTGGTCTGTCGCCGGTGTATGTGTGTGTGCACATGTGCACAGGCTAGGTAAAGCACACTTTCTCTGAGTTTGCGCCCGCAGCTTAATACCTTGGTGCGGGATCGTAGCGGGAAGAGCTTCAGGTATTGCAAAGAGCTGTCCTGCCAAGTGACCAATTCCAAACCAAGTTGCCCTCTAAACAGTCCCGGGTGGCGCTGCCCTGTAGCTTAGACCGAATGGCCCCGCGTGTTGAACTGTTGCCGCAGCCTTGAGGAAGTTTGCGGAAAGGCTGAGATGGCCGCACGGACCAGTTTGTTGGTCTGAGCGCGCCCGGGCCGACCCACTCACACACTCACTTACTCACTCACTCACTCACTTACTCACTCACTCACTCATGATTTGAAGCCCGGCTGAAGCCTAAAGTGTCCATGTACTAAATACTTGAATACCTCTAATCAAGGCGTTTGCGAGACGGAGGCTAAGGCTAACAATGGGTCATGTTTATCGGCAATTCAAATCCTGAATTCAAGCCCGTAAGGCGTTTTGCCAGTGGTAGCTCCTACTGCGCATCCTGGTAGAACCCCCGCCGCAAAGTCTCTAAACAGTCAAACATGCCCTCAACCTGCATCAGCCCGCATTGAGATCTGAAGATCTGCAGGTAAAGCTCCATTGAAAAGAACTCGCCAATCATCTCGGATGGTAGTCCTTCCGCAAATCGTTTGCAGGTTCTGCTGTAACAAATCATGGTGGCCTCAGGCACCCTACAAGGCCCTGAGGGTAAAAGAGTGATAAAGGGGCTTTCTGCTCAGGATTCGTCAGGTGAGTACAAGTGTACCCTTACACATGAACAGTATTGGTTTATGCAGCTCTCAAAAACATGCGGAGGCCAGGGAGGGATTTCCACATCTGCCAGCTTGCCATGAATCCTAAGCCCCAACTGCTAAACCTTCAACAACAAGCATGCAGCCGTGCTGCTTTGAAGATTCTGAGCCTCCCAGAGTCTGGGACAGATCTCCCTCCCTAAGAATGACACACTCCCGCATCCCCTTACAAAAGACATTGTTGTTCAAAGGCTTTACTTTACATGCTCGTGAGCAAGTTGAGATGATCAATCCTTTTGCACATGAATGGTTCTCCACTGCAAAAATCTTTGCCCGGGCTCGGATCACGGAGTCCAGAAGCAACGGCAAGTCCCTCGCCCGCTAATTCGTTGACACTATGGGCCCGTAATCCTGGAATCCTTGTACCGTGCGGGTTAACCCTTGACGCCCAATTCAGGGCCCATAGCGAGAACCCAGGAAAAAGATAAGGGCCCATATTAGGGCCCATGGTTGCGGTAGGGGCTTCGACTAATGCGGGGGCTCCCAATTAGGGGTCCCTCGGAGAGGTCCCTACACTACAGTAGCTTGAGCGGATGGTAAGTTGGAGCCTTTTTTACTGGTAGCACTCATGGGGTTTAGGTTTAGGATGGTTTAGAGTTCAGGTTAACCTATCAAACAGGACCCACCACCGCCCAGCCAGACCTTTCAAGTCCCATGCTGTAGGCTCCTAAGGCAATGAAGCAAGGAATGGTAAGTTCCAGGAGGATCCGTAGACCACCGCCTCAGGTGGATTAGGTCTGAAGATCCGGAGCCCCCAGGACTTGGTACAGGGATCGTGAACCCTTCTTTTGGTATTCGTGTCCCCCTTAAGTAGAATGAATATGGGGTATATGGGATTATGATAACCAAAGCCATATTCTATCTACTTAAGGGGGACTATAATGAGCTCGTGGTCGCTTACGGCTTGGGCCAGGCTTGGGACTCTGATAGGTTTTAGGGTTTAAGGGTTTAGGTTTTTAGCGTTTTAGGGTTCTATGGTTGAGGGTTCTAGAGTTCAGGGTTTTAGGGTTTAGGGTTCTAGGGTTTGAGGGTTTGGGGTTTCAAGAAATCAGGGTTCCCTTTGTGTTGTTTCGGGGTAGTTAGGGTGACCCCTGTTTTCGGAAGCCTCGCGTGTGGTCTGCAAAGGTAGGTGGTTGAGGCTTGCCTTTCCAGGCAATTTTTATAAAGATACTGGAAAAGAAAATGAAAACTATAGTGTGACAGGGTATATATTGGGGTTATATTCGGGATGCATAGGATGCTGCAGACTGCAATGTCCAGGCGTACGCACAACCTGGCGGGGCGGCCCTTCGTGGTAAGGATAGGAGTAAGTGTATTTGGAGTAGAGTGGAAATCATGAGAATAGATGTCATCATACGCTAAAGTTAAGCAGGATTTCATAGGGACAAGGGTAGGCAACCATAGAAGCTTGCTCGATAAATCTACGCACGGAAACTGAAGAATTTCCCTGCCCAGTATCCTTATCTTTCATCTCAAGCTCACATAAACCTGGTCTGAAGCAATGAAACTCACTTGACTGGGCTGAGAATACCCTCCCCCAAAAATCATGGAACTCCGAAGGAGCCCACAGAGCCAACCGCCTCTCAAAAAAGGAGCTACGGGGCTCAATGTTAGTGTGGGAGAGAGTAGCAGACAAACGGTGTACAGTACCAGACACTCATGCCAAGATTCGTCTTGATGACGTCCATCGGATAAATGCAGCCCCAGGCAGTTGCCCCTGAGATATGAGGACGTAGGTAGACGCATTGCGGAACACTGGGCTCATCTACACTAAAACCATAAGCGGCTTTGGGTATGGAATATTACTTGATGATACCTCGGGTTCTGCCGCCATTCTCTTGATCAGGACAGGGCTACTTGTCGGCAGGGCTTTTGGGGACCAGCGTAGGAAATGCTGTCTTGCTATGAACATTCAAGGGTTGAACTTTGGGCCGACGGGTTGAGGTCTAGAATTTCATTACACAGTGTTGCTCTGGGCTTTTTGTAATTTAGGGGTTGCGGATGTGGCTGCTCAGGCTGAGCAGGTGACCCCACTGAATGTGCCAGCTGCTGTTCGAGTTTGTGAACCAGGAACCACCCACTCCAAATGCCAAGTATGCTGGCAACTATTGCACCTCCCTCAACAACATATACTTAGTCTTAACTTGCTACTGGCAGAACCGCCGAGCACGGCGAACATCCATGTTCGATTCAGGGGAGGATCATGGCGTCACCGAGCAATCGAACTATGCGAGCTGCGCATGCCTGGTGTAACGCATCATCTATGACTACCATGCGCGCCCGTCCGAAAAGGCACAGCAGCATCATGGAGCAAGCGCTTCAGGCTTAGCAAACTTACCTCAGTGTACTCCTAGGTCTGCACAGCTCTGCGCCATTGCCAGCCAGGAAATTACTTCCTCAAGCAAAAGGTCAACCATTTTCCCGTGTGAGTCCAGAGCCTCAAGCCCTACAAACCTATAGAATTTAGGGATTATACAGGGTCTACGGATAATGCATAATCAAATGGAAAAGAAAGTGGAACGGAAACTGGGGTTCTGAATGGGTTTTATACCCCCCGAAACCTTGCCAAGCCAAAGCCACAAGCTTCTATGTACAAGCCCTCAACCCTGAACCAAATGAACACAATGATATGTTGTTCTCATGGTTGTGCATCTGTCAAGTCCTGACAATGTCTACAAGTCCTGCCCTCCATTCAACCCCTTTGTGCCCTTTGGATCCCCTCCAAAGCCCTCAAGCACCAAACGCATTGACTTTATACACAATACGCGCTGAAAACCAGAAACCTGAAACGCTGAACCAAAATGGAAACCGCTTAATTAACCCCAAACCCTGCAAGTCCGCCTGGCCTGCACAGCCTCCGGCAACAAAGCTGGCGAAGTCGGACTTTCCCAAGCTACGGGTGATGGCCTCGTAGACCAGGAAGTAAAGCCTGGGATCACCACAGGCCAACAACTTCGGGCTTTAGGGTCTCAGGCTTCACGGCAACAGAATTAGGCTTTAGGGATTTGGGGTTTGGGGCTTTAGGGCCAGGATCTAGGCTTTGGAGTTTTAGGCTTTAGGAGTTATGGTTTGAAGCTGAGGACACTACTTGAGTCCTCACGAGAAGGGCTGCGATGCTCTGATTAGTGATTCGCAAGGAATGAAGGGATGGGGTACAGGGACTCTTAATGGGGACTTATACGGACTACTATCAAAATCCATCCCGTCATTCCTTACTTAGCACCTGTAGATTTTCTACAAGCATGCAACCATCCCAGAAATCTCAACACTGACAGGTGGAGCCATCAGGAAACCTTGGTTTAGATAAGGTTAGATGGCCCCTGAAACTACTTGGCAAGCAGCTCCGCGGAATTTATTTCTCAAACATTGCGGCCCAAAAGGACCCTAGGGATATACAGTGATTCGGAGGATCTTGCTCCTTATCGGGGATTATAGGGGGATTCTTTTGAGAACCTCCCTTTGACCTGGAGATTTTCTGGGCTGTCGAAATACCCTTGATTGAGGATTGCTGCTTAGAGTGACTTCTCAGGAGCTCACGACTGATTGAAGGAATGGCCACTACTCAAGAGACAGTGCAAGTTCTGGGAGCGTAATGGGCAGTTCTTTGTCCAACTATTGCAGTCAGGCCTGGGATAATTGGATAATCGTGCTTTGGGCATCCTACACTGCAGTTCCGAAGGGGGTACTACCCAACATAGAGAAAAAGTGGCTTACCAATTGCCCGGCCTCCTAAATACCAGGCACCCGGGTGGAATGCCAATTAATGGGCAAGGGGCTTCCTGTGTCAGCAGCATTAATTGTAGGAATGGGTCCTTGGGAGAGCTGGGCACCGGATAAAACCCTGAGAATACGGAACCAGCCCTAGAAGAGTCCTTCCCACTGCATGCCTCTCAGCCTGTTTCATGACTGCCCTGAGCGAACCATAAATGTACGGCTTGTGTTCAGCTAGGAAACACCTCTCTGTCAGGGACATTGTGACATGGTAATCCTGAAGGTCTGCTATCAGAATCACTCAGCAGACGCAAACCGAAGATGTCAGCCTCACAGGGATTGAAGGGCCTTGGACGCTTCTGAGACATGTCCGAACTTTTCCCTTCAGACCTTGAAGAAACATACCTCTCCAAAAGAAACAGGTAGGCTCCTTTTGATTGTCCTGGCCTGCTCATGCATCAAGAAAAAAGGGTCCAACCGGACCAAATTTCCCTGGGATCTTTAAACACTTCTCGAAGTACCTCAGGACACCAACTTCTGCACCGAGTCTGCCTTTCGGGCATAAAGGTAATTGTATTACTTGTGCTGGGGTCCGCATATATTCCTATAGCCAAACCCTAAGCACTGTATATTTCATTTCTCCCCCTATTGCTGGGTGCTGACATAAGCCGAAGTCTGTTTTCCAGTGCTCATAGGTTTTAGGAACTTGATAGTTTCCTAAAGTACGGGGACCCCGCATAATGGTCACCCTAATTTGGGGAGAGTCCTACGATGAATTCGGAAAATGATAAGAACAATGGCCATAAGAATTGTGAATTTTATGGCGAAAATAAGTAACAATAATTGTAGTAGTACAATAGTAGTAATGGTCATAGTAGTAATAATATCAGTAATTCGAAATCATAATAGTAGTACTGACAGTAGGAATATACTAGCAACAATAATAGTCATAGGTATCAATAACAAAAATATTATTATCATAACCACAAGAACAGTGGTAATCATTGGCAGCATGGTGCAAAAAGTTCGCAGTCCTGACCCCTCCGCAGATGTTCGCCCGCAGGGAAGCACATCCAAAGTTCTGGTTCAGGGTTTGGGGCTGCAAAAGCCCAGCTCTGCCATGATTTGGGGATGTTTCCCCAAAATTGCTGGTCGCCTTTGGGGGCTCCCTAAACAAAGAGCTATGGAATTTTGGGGTCGATGTTTTGGTCCCCTGTTTCTGGGAACTATCACTTCTCCTGAGCCCAAGCCCTAAACCATCCAGGGAACAGATTGAACTTGACGGCGGCAGCGGACTCTCATCTGAGCATGGAACCTAAATCCATGCCTTTTTATTGTTAGGCTTTTGACGATTCCAAAAATCTTGGCCCGCGTTTTGGGTGTTATTGTTAAACATTATGATGAATTGGTGTCAACACCGCGGCTCCCTATTTCCGGAAACTACCATTTACTGTAGCTCATGAAACCCCAGTTTGCATGTAATTTTCCGTTTTTACCGTTTGATTATTATTATTATGGTATTATAGACCCTGAGCCCTAAACCCTAATATTGGGGCCCCATGCTTGCGGAAACCACTATTTGACCCTGGGGTCTTCTCCACGTGCTGAGATGGGAGTCACGCAAGGATGAGCCGTGGTAGGAAATGCTACATCTTAGGGCTTAGGGACTTCTACCATGAAGATTTAACAGCAACAGACTGAAAACAACCTAAGATCCCACCACGGGCTGCACACATCGCTTGATAAAAGGAATGAACTTTCCTTGAAAAACTGATAAAGGGAATTGTCTCTGTCTCGAAGGACGGATCCAGCTTGAGGTCTCTTGCGGCCTTCCAGGAATCAAGGTTGCAACTTCCTTCAGTAGCATGAGAACAAATCGGAAACACGGCTTTAAGGTGCATTTACAACAGATTACGGCTTTGGGCCCAAGATTTCCAGCATACTGGATGCATCGAAAGGAGGAAGGTTGGAATCGACTGCAGGGAACGCAGTCGGCCAGGTTCGCCAGGCGACAAGTGGGCAATGAGCCGTCTCTACAGCATCCCTGGCAGACTAGTGACTGGAGGACGCAGCTCTGCCGTACAGGGCTGCGAAAGACAGCGAAAAGCAAGCCTGTGAAGGGAAAGATTCTTCTGAGCTCATCTCATTTTTTCACGAGCATCTTGGTTTTAAGTTAGAAGTTCACCTAAATCAGGCCGCATCGATGGATCTGTGCGGGAGTCCAAAGAATTTTCCCTCCCAGGAAGACCCGGCGTATGCTAACACATGGGGTCAACAACGCGGGCCCACAGGCGCACCCTAAACCCCTGGCTTGATAAAAGGCAAGCCGTCGTAAGCATGTGGAGCTTTGCGCGGCTGGCGGTCTGAGATGTGTTTCTCAAGATTCAGGTATGGGCGGCTGTTCATTGCTGCAAAGGCCCTGTCAAAGACTGGCAGTTATCTCGCAGTAGGCCATAGGCTTAGCAGTGCACATATATGACACAGTCGACACCAATCAATACAAGCATAAGAACCTCGCTAGTAATGCCACTGACAGTAGCAAAAACGTTAACCAGCATAAGAATCATGGTATCTTCAATAATAGTAAACAACGCGCAAAACAACGATACTGATAGCAGTGATAACCTGGTCGGCACAAAAGACAACAAGTCACAATATTCCATGGAGTAATTAATACAACTTACAGTCAAAGTGGTGATTACAGTCCTTGCGCTGATAACAAGAACTAGCCAACAAAAGAGCTAGAACGAAGCAGGAAGCTAGAAGCAAAGGATCAGGAAGAGGCAGGCAGAATGAAAACGAGGGAGAAGAGGACGACAATAGAAGGCACAAACAGCCAAGACATTTGCAGCAGGGGAAACACACAGAAAACAGAGTCACCTGGCAAAAGCCGAAGGCCAGAAGAAACACATGAACACATGTATAAGGAGAGACAAGCATGCACCCCAAAAAACAAACAAGGTGACATACGACTTCCTGCGCCCACCCTGCACTTTAGAAAACATGCACGCTCGACACACAGCTAGGAAAGAGCCGTGGCAACGCAGGGCCCAATGGACATCTCTGCGCATCTGGATTTCTCCAATATCTCCACGGTCTCACTGCACATATGCTCATACTCTCCTACTTGAACTGCATGTATGCACCACCCTCATTTGAGAAATCCAGGGCCCTTCAAAAATGAGAAGGTCCCCGCGCATGCTTCGCAATGGAACAGGATGTCAGAGAACGCATGTCAAAGGAAGCATGTTGCTGCGGGGATCCTTGTGCAGATGCCGCTCACTTGGAAACGCACCAAGAGAGCGGAAGGGCTGCCTGTGTTTTAATCGGTTTCATGGGTGATGCAGTGGCCCTTGGGCGCTGTCATTATCCCTAATACATGTTTGGCTCTAGCATTCCATGGGCAAGCGCAGACAACCAGGGCACAGAAGCGAATTACTGCACGCACAAAAAAAATTCTGATAAACTGCGTGCTTGTGTAGAAGGCGCACCAATGTCAGCGTCATCATCGGAAATCTCCGCAAAATCCAGAAACGTGTTTCTGACTCGTATGCGCATGTGCCGACACGGCTGCCTGCCATCCGGCTCCGGTTCGTCGGACAGGGCCGGTCCATCAACTTCTCGCGGTTCCACTGTGTCCAGGATCTTTGGCTTATCGGCCTTTAATACCCGCCGGTACACCAGGCCGGCCACGTTAAAGATGGCAAAGAATTGTTCTTTGCACTGGATCCAGTCGGCGCGCTTGACTACAGCCTGGTAAGGCGCAATGCTCCTGCCGTGCAGTGACTCAAAGACTTTGTAGACACCCATGTTCACAATCCGAAAGAAACTTCGCAAATAAATCGGAAAGGTGAACTCGTCGTATGAGAGCTGATACCAGTCCTCCGCGAGCGGATTGTCGCACACCGCAGCTGCAGTTTTTGGCAGAAAGGGTGAGCCAGCGGAACACTTCTTCAACGTCAAGACGACATAGAAGGAGGCAGCAACCTGTCTGGCCATCACCGACTGCCGATCCGTCAAGGCTTTCAGAATCAGCCACTCATTGCGCCTCATCACTTGGCACAACATTCTCGCTACGAATGCTGCCATGGGATTGCTCAGGCATTCCGGAAAGCTGAAGAAATGGACCACCCGGGCCCCGCCCACGGTCGAGACTGCCTGCATGACCCAAACGAATGGAGGCTGAGTCAGCAGGAGAGTCGCATGGGTGCTGTTGCC